TCAATCGTTCCTGAAATAGACGTTCGTACGAAAGCTTATTTTCGCTTTCAGATTCTTTTCACTTCGTGTAATCAGCGAGAAAATATTTCTCCTGCTAAAAATTTCGCCCGCGTCGCGAAATCGCTTTATATCGACGCTCAATTTTACTCTAAAAACAAAAGTTGTAATTTATCATTTTAGTATATCTATATTCTATAATGTTCAAATAATATGCGATTTTTATCTTTTCCGATTAACAATTTATATTCTCATTGTTATTTATGTTATTTTTAAATTGTACCATACGTAATTGTATCATATGTAATTTTATTGTGTAATTTATTATACTTCCTTATTGGATGAACACATGAAATATTCACGTAGATATTTTTAAATCTTTATTCTTCAACATAAATGAAATAAGATATTGAACCAAAATGGAGAAAGAGAATTATACGCTATGTGCTGTGAATAATAAAATGATTACACAATCGATCGACAGTACATCGTTAAGAAAAATAATCTCGAAAACAGTAACGAAGGAATTAATGAATTATCGATAAATCCAGATATAATCAGCGATCATGTTTTATTAATACATTATTTATTGTTCAGGAGATTCGATTATTAGTCGAATTACTGTAGATGTGTTTTTTCTTATTTCATATATTATTTTATGACCAATGAGTTTTAATTGTTTATTTTTACAAAATTAAATCATGAATTTAATTAATTTAAATTTCGTTGCGAATTTATAAGGTTCGCTTATCTTCTTTAAAATGCAATCATGCATAATGCTAATCACAATTATATGAAACCAATCGGAAAAGGAAAAGGAAAAATAGAAATTGCGATAGATTATTAATGCATTTTTATATCTTTAATTTTGCACTTTTATAATATTTTTTTGAAAGTGTGTAATAAAATGTAACACAATTGAGTTATTTTATGTGTATTATTTTTTTAACAATATTTGAGTTTTTGATGTATATAAAATACAGGATGTTGATATAATTATAGTACATATTTTAGTCAATAATTTTTATGATCGTTTTCATTTTTTAATAAAACAGAAGATTTTTCACAATATTTTCATTTTTAGTATGTAATAGAATTATTTAGCACAACAAAATAAACTGAAATAATAAACAGAACTCTCGATAATAAACGTAGAAATAATATGGCAAATGAGAATAGCAACGTGATTGTTAAGTGAAATGCAACATTTTAATATATAATAGTTATCACATTATAAATTTTTCAAAGAATTTGTAACGCGATGACTATATATTATATTAAAATTTTGCATTCCAACAATAGCACTGCTACTTTCATTTGTCATATTATTTTTATAATTATTTAGCAAGTTAGAAGATCTTTAATTCAGCCTAAACTTGAATATTTTACATAGTAAATTTATTATTACTTTGACGTTTTCATCTTTTATATTTAGTGGATTTTTTGATTTTTAATAAATTAGGTATACGAAGAAAAAATGTCGATCGAAAAACAGATAATGAGATATCTAGAATAAAATGTCAAACTGGATGTAAGAGCAAAATAACGGAGAAGTATCCATCCAGAAGAATCAATATTTTATTTTCCAAATTTTTAGAGCGTCACTGTTCTCTTTAAAAACTCGCCGAAGAAGGCAACATATATTTATTATTAGTATCGTTAAGTATTAGTCAGTAAGTTCATTGTTAAGGTAACTATACCTAATAATGTTAGACTTCAATGTGATTTAATCGTTATCATGGTTGAAGATCAGTACAAAGTGTGCGTGCGTACGAGAGAGAGAAAGAGAGAGAGAGAGAGAGAGAGAGAGAGAGAGAGAGAGAGAGAGACAGGGGTTAGAAATTTCTCGTTGAGAAGAAAATAGCGGGACGCTGATTGTTTTTTCGTGATTGTTTAAAAGTCTGTTTGAAATGGAAATTAAATGTATATGCATTTTTAGCGCCGTTGTAAAGGGCACGGTGCACATTACGAATTGTACGATGTATGTATCGTACGAATGGTCCACCGACTCTCTCGGATCCGTTGCAAATTTTCGTCGAAATGTTCCTTGGGCATCTTCCACGTACGAATATCTTGGAACAATAATAATATATACGTATTGCATTTCTCAGAAACAATAATTCATCTGTTTCTAAATTGTGAGATAACGTGAATTGGGAATTTTTAATTCCCCGAAGAATATCCTCGCGCGCATTAAATTTTTTCTGGAACTATTTGTTTTAATACTCACAATCAGAATAATGAAGTAACGTTTATACGTTTATAAGGGAAAAATATTTTTTATTAATGAAAAAGAAAGGAAATATATCTATCTGATGGAAGATGCGCAGCTCAAAAGTATGAAAGCATTTTTATGAATGTGTAGGAAGTAATTCGATATATATTGCTCGAGTATCTCGTAAAGTGGCATTACTATTCCATGAGAAAATTATTTCATAGCACTTATACAGAATATTTCTTAAATACTAATATTTTAAGAGTTGATTTTTAAAGTCATTTTTTACAAAGAAAAATTGAACACGTAATCTCAAAGGGTGTAAAAATTTTATATGGTTATTGCTTTTAATTAAGCTTTCAATAACTTTTAATAGCTCATAAATAAGAAAAGATTTTTCCCAAACTCGAGTCAATAAATAGACAAAGTATTATCTTCACTTTTCATATTTTTAGTTGCCGTTTTGTAAAAAAGCAATGGAGTACAAATGGGATTTAACATTTACAATACATTATTGCTTCGCGAACTTATTGTTATGTCAAGAGAATCGAATCTTGACGTTTGAAAAAGAAATCTCTTTTATATAGAAGATTCTATTTAGAAAGAAAAATAATTTTATAATATTTGTGTAATCATACTCGTATCTCTGATTCAAAGCTTTTGAAATATGAGAGGCTATTGAGATTTATATGAATTTTTCTTTATAAAATAATAAAAAAAAAGTACCAATTCTTAAAATCTAAAATTTATCTAAAAAAATTAATTTCTAAAATTAATAAACTTTTCTAAAATTTTAGGCAATACTTAAGAAATATCCTGCGTAACGTGTTTAATACAATGTACTCATTTAATCATGATGCGTGCCCACTTTACGACATATATCCGCGAATCAAGCGTGAATTGGTATTTTTTTTAATGGAAATAAAAACGCGTGAGCTTTCACAAGTGGATCCGGAAGGGATCGTGAGACTTTCTTTAAACAATCTTTCATAAATGTACGATTAGAGAGAAACTTTCTACGTATATTAGACGACATTCTCTATGCGTTATGGTCACTACATGAGATCAATTCAAAAAAGATCAACTTCTCAAATCACGTCAATAATTCCTGAGGGGCTACAGGTGATGGGAATGATTCTTCATTTCCAGTTTTTTTTTGTAAACATGCTTCTCTATCGCACATCATTCCGAAATAACATAATTGCAAGATTACATTTACAGTCTCGCGCAGAAATTATTCCGCGTATATTAAAGCAGACTTTAACACTGGAACTATCAACGTAATAAAACGACTAGTTCGTAATCTTTTTTAAAATTATTTATGATAATTTTTTAAAGTTATTTTTATTGCAATTTGTAAAAATCGAGATCTAAATTTATTTTTCCCCTTCATGTTTTTTCAGAGATATGTATACTATAAAATATTTAAATGATAGAAATTAATCATCGGTAGTTCTAGTATTAAAGTAGACATTTATGCTAATGAACTACACGATCAATGCAATGATGCAAAACCGTTTGAAAAACGGGCAAATCAAGCTTTTTTCTGTATGGATGTGTCCTTGCGGATGAATTGTTGAGAATACATGAAGACAGGACAAAAAAATGGAAAAGTCAGCCAAATACCAAAAATAAGATAAAAGAAAAAAACAAAAAAGAATCAAAAGTAATACATTTGTCCGAGAAGACACTAAAAGAATGTTCTTCATATTCATTTTGCATATCATAAATTTGCTCATACAGCAATTACAGTTTGTTACTAGCTTTTAAATATTAATGGGAATTTTTGAAAGAAAAATAAATTTTCTGAGACGTGACACATTTTTTATGTCAAGTCTTCAAGTCATGTTAATTCGTCGATGACGTGTGTATTTTTCTTTATATAAATGAATAGAGTCTTTTTTATTGATAAGTTTGTGATATTTATCTTGTACGTATTCGATATTCTCCTTTATGTAAGATAATTCGTTTTTATGATGTTCTTATAAACAATTTTGGAAAAAATATTTATGCAAAAATTAGTTTAAAAAAATCTTACGTTGCCTATATAACATGTTTCGAGATAATTTAGCTCTGGCTGCTTTGCCTTTGCCAGTGTTTTTCGTTTGTGTATGTGTAAAGCGTTGACGATGAACGGTATTGAGGAGCAACATGTATGAATTGTGCATGTATATGAAAAAAAAAAAAAAAAAAAAAAAATACAATAGACTAAGCGGAGAAAATGCTCGAATCGCAGCGTTCATCGACAAATTTCTTCATATGAAAGTTTATAAAAGAATTCTTCTTTAATAGTGCCAACTATGTAATATGAAAAACAAAAAAAAAATAAAAGTCAAGTAGAAAAAATACGCAACCTAATCGTGTAAATCAAATTCACAATATTAAACAATCAGAAAATTTTTACTGATTAAAAAATGTATGCAAAAATATTGAGATGTAACTTATCATGTCTTATAATTTACAAATTAATACTATGTTGAGGATTAAATAGAAAAAAAATTTAATTAGTATGCAATCGAAACAAGTATAATATGAATTATTGCGGCATCTTGGATGACGCAAGAGTCTCGTACAGCAATTTCTTTGTCCTCATTGTCCTGCTATTGCACTATTTATTTCCGCACACACCCTGCATCGGAACGAGATGCAATTTGCATACATGCAAGTAGGTGCAGCATTGTCGATTGCTAACTATCTGTGTCAGAACAACGATGCATACAAGAAAAGGTTGTAGTTGTATTACGTAACGCTTGTTACGAGTCAGCATATATTTAAATTAAGTCTCATTTATTTTGCACATAGTCTTACATATCTTTACACAGTATTAATCTACACGAAAGGGCGTCGTGGAACATTGACAATTTCATTTTCCCAAAAATGTCGTACACGCGAAGACTTGGTATAAGGTACTATATATCTATAAGGCTTGTTTTATATATCTGTAATGTCTAGAAATCAAACATTTACAAATTCTGTTAAATATTGCTTTTAAAAGATATTAAATTTGTCCATCCTCTTCGCGTGTATGGCAGATCTAATTGCGCAGATAACCCGACGGCAGCAACGAGGATAAGTTTTGCGACAGGTATGCAACAGTATTAAAAAACATGGAAGAGAACATCTATGATTCTTTCATCAGTCACTGCTTCTCGGCTGGTGATGCCAAAGAATTACGTCTTTTCTTGGATCACAACACGAAAGAATCGCGGTGCTTTGGGCTCGGATCTGTTACAATTGCTCTATGGCAGAGCGGAGTCGCGGAGAAATCTTAATCCGCACAAATGGGTGCGATTATCATTAATCAAAGGCCCCTTCGAGCGTTATCACAAGTAGAGAGGAGAGCGACGCGCCGAGCTGAAATCAGCTCTCTCACTCGCGGCAATCGAGTCCTTCCTTTTTTAGAGCGCGATATATGCGGAATGTCATTATTGCAAATTGGCAAGTCGAGGCTCTTCTCCGGGCAGAAATTCTGTGAGAAGTGATTATTATCTTGCATATGTAAAACAACTTTCGCGTATTGGTGACTGAATTACTGCGGTCTTCTACCGTCGAGTTTTGATTCGATCATCAATCCTTCCGTGCTGAAATAGCGGTCACAGATAATGTCGAATAGTTCTCTAAACGACAGCCTGCGGGAAAAGCGGACTTCTCCAGATAGTTACACAGATAGCACCGTACGCGCGACCACGACTAATCTATCGCGAAATAATCTTTTAGCCGACCGATTCAATCATCAATTTCGGTCACAAATTAAAGAACCGCGATCTCGAATGGTTCTGCAAGCGACGTTGCAGGTACTTCTTAGGAATCAGCAATTCGTAATCGAATATCACGATGCGCGTGCACGCGCGAATCTTGACCACCGATTTTGATAGTCGCAGTTTTCATTTTCACGAAAATCTCTGAGGTTTTTTCTCGTGTTTCGGAGATACTGACGCTCGCTGGAACACCATTCTAGGTGCGATGAGAGGACCGAGACCTTTTTGAGTACTTCTTCCTCTCGGTGACGATACGTCAAACGGCCCCGTACTCCTCACTCGATGGTGACTCGTCACTGGCTGATGGCCTGGGTGGCCTGGGAGGTCGTGGCGGTCGATGATGCAGCGTGGGTGCTGGTCTTCTTGGTGGCGGCGGCGGATGCACCCCGTAAGTTATATCTTCTCCCTCTTCGCTGCTGGGCGACGGCGAAGGCGCTCGATCCTCTTGTTCCTGCAGCAATTGTCGGAACTCCTGGATCGACTCGTTCAAGGACCACAATTGAGACAATAACGAGAGATCAAGCTGCCGCAGACCAAACTGCAAAAATAATTACTAATATTGTAATGCACTAAAAATGAAAAAAAGATTGTGGTATTGCAATGAGTTTGCGATAGACACGTAAAATATTTGTACAAGTAATTATCGCTTTGAGATTTATATATTGTTTTATGACACTAGAAACTAAATTAATTCGAATTTTATAGCATCTCGATTTCCAATTAGAAATAAATATATAAAATACTTAGATATAATGTTACTGCTTACATAAATTTTATTCTCTAAAAGATTGACTTTTAGATATTTATTAAAGAGATTCTACGATCATCATTTTCCGTAACCCCGTGACTTTTCTTCGTCACCGTGGATTGCTGCGAAATTTCACATAGGGTTCAATATATAGAAGCTGGAGGAACGTATTCACTTTTACCATACAGTCTCCAAGGTAAATGTTACCTCGTGATTTACGGACTGAAACGACGCATTTCCAAGCAGCTTGGTGACTGCTTGGTCGTGGGAACTGAGGAAGAGGGAGTTGTATAGGAGAGATATGGAAAAGGAGAACGGGAAGAATATGAGAGACGCGAACAGACAACACGACGAAGAGAAATGAGGCTAGAAGAAGGACGAAGAGCAGAAGAGAGAACGAAGGAGGCGAGGGAAAAGGGGTACAGAGGAGTAAAATCATGCCTGAGGGAATGTAGCGTGGGAGCGGCTGTACGAACTCGCTTCTCGTGTCTGGATTGACTATTAAATTATTAGCCCAACTTAGATACGCGAGTCGGGATGTTGACGCGAACGGAGATCCAACAAGAGTTCACGAGAGTTCTCCTCGGAGAGAGCCTACTCAAGATCCCGTTACAGTTAATTTCGGAAAGATTGCTGCAATGTCACGCAAACGTGCATGACAATATTTTTATACGAAACAAATACATAGCGATCGCTGAATCAATAAGATATTCAAATTTCTAATGAAAAGAATGGTTTTGCTAAAATATTCCAAAAACTCACCTAAATACAAGTCTGAATAAATTTTGTTTGACTATTAAAATAATTATATAAGATGCTATCATGTTTGAGATTCTCACATAATTATTTTGATAGATAAAATCATTTTTAGATTTGTTAGACATAAATTTAGGTAATTCAGTAAAACTTTCCATGTAGTTGCAAAGCGACGACAAAATTGAATTGCTAATGAGGTGTACACAAAAAGATGTAGCAATAGTTGTAGTTTAGTTTATTTGAAATAAACAGTCTTTTAGAATTTCAATCATTAGTCGACGCGATAATGAGATCGTTGAACTACTAATGAGATGTACGCCAAGAGATATTGTAGTAATTTTATTTGAAATAAACATAAAGCCTCTTAGAATTTCAATCGTTAATCGACGTAGATGAATACGGCGTGTAACTAGCAGTAGGTATGTGAAGTATATTTGCGCAGCAAACTTGCAAGGTAATATAGCTATTAAAAAGCGGCGCCTCCGCACGGTTGAGTGATATAAGCGCGTCCCGTCTTTCTCTACCGCGGTATGATATACTCTGGTTTCCCTCGCTGCTTATGATCCCACGCATAAAATACACGCTCATCGTGCGCAATTTACTCACACGCGATCACGGCCTCGAGGTAACGGGTCATTCGGGTCGCCCAAACAAATGCGGAAGGATCGGGAGAAACAGACAGGAGAGCAACAGAGGTGGACAACGACGACAGAGTAGAAAATGAAGATTCGCAAAACGTGATCGGACTATTGCGACGGAATATCGAGGATAAGGAGTGGCAAGGATCGAAGTTTAAAAGACAAGGAATACTTCCAAGTAGAAATCAAAGACGACAGGAAAAGGAAACTATTCGAAAGAAATTAAATTTGTACACAAAAATAACAAAGATAATATAAAAAGAATTAGAAAACCAATAAAAAAATATTATCTGAAATAAGAAATAAAAATTATGAAAAATAACAAAGAGAAAAATTATCTAAGTATCGAAGGAATTGAGGAATTGAATTAAGGATTTCGATAGAAACTAGATCATAGATACAAAGCCAACATGAACAAAACATGGAATAAAAGTTTTAAAAATATTTTAAATACGCGAACATTTTATGTTATGTTTAAAAAATTCAAATGATAACAAATGTGGTTTACAGAAATGAGAGTCGTGCGAATAATTTGCACAGCTTCCGTCGCGATCGATGACAGCGGAAGAATCTCGACCACTCTGAAATCGCACGTGCTTATTGCACGCGTAGGCGTGGAATTTTCCTGCACATACTCATAAATATACGTTTCGTGCCGTGATAGATGACTAATGGTTTCTATTAGAGTTAATGGCTGCCGTTATGGGATGCACAATTTCAGACACCAATTTGAATCACATCGACAATTTACTGACCGCATGTCGAGTGATACTCTGTTACACGTGCCGTAAAATCCAATCCAATGGTCAAATAATTTTCTAAATGTAAAAGATTTCAATTATTCATTTCTAATTACTCTCAGTTGCTTCAGTTAATCTAAAAATCGCATCCGCAAAACTCTTAAAATGTTTTATTTTTCCATCCAGATTGCACATTAAGAGTATTTTATCGTGTTAAAATAATCATTGTCCGTATTTCTGCATTTTGTTTGCCTTAAAAAAATAAAATAATTTTATATTACTAAATCATTGAACGATTGAATATCATTACTTTAAGACTATAACTTTCTTGGGGAATTGTAACATAAAGGAAATTGTAACATAAATATTCTCTCTCTCTCTCTCTCTCTCTCTCTCTCTCTCTCTCTCTCTCTCTCTCTTTCTGCACATATATATCTTCTATCTTATCATATATAAATAATTAACGTCAACTAGACATTAAAAATCAGAGAAAAAAAATCAAAATCCTGATAGTCTGCAAACCAGTTCTATATTGCGCAGCAACTATTAGTTTCATGAGACATCGAGAAACATCGAGAAATATATTTTACGATTAAAATAACGAGAGTGCGATGTTAACGGAGAAGTAAAAGAATGAAAATAATTTTCGGATGAATACCATTTCTCTCCTGAGCACTGCCAGTTGGGTATCCAAGGTAGTAAGTTGTCTGGCAGGTGGAGACGGCCTCGATGACGATGTTTGCAGCGACGTTTTGCTGCCTCTTTGGGATTTACTGGACGACCTCGTGGGCGGTGGAGGCGGCTCGCCGCTCTCGCCGCGACCGCTCAGGTTGAAGCCACTCAAACTTCTCGGTAACGGGGGTAATCCTTGTAGGGAAGACATCGCAATCCTTTCTTGAATACTAGAACATACAAGTACGAGATTTTTAGATAATTTATATTCTGTATAGAATGGAATATATTTTCAGCACGTTTCAATAAACAAGACAACGCAAAGTGTTTTCAGTGATAAAGAATGCATTTAGTGCACAGAAATATCATTCTTTGCATCCAATGAGTAAAGAACGGCATTTGTGTTACTAAATGAAAAACACTCAAAGTTAAGAAATTTATTCGACGTTAATTATTAATATTTAATATATGTAACAGTATAGTTGTCGCGTATAGATATTCTGGTTATTTTTGCCAAACAAGATACTTTAGTTGTAAAAATATCGAAGTCGATATTATATACAATCATTTGTCAGAAAAATAAAGTAAATTTTACGTAAGTGAGCGCTTATTCCTATATAAACCTCGATCGATAAAAAAATCGATAAAAAATATACTAGAATTCTAAAATACACATTACTTCGATTTCTCCGTGTATGAAGGGGAAATTAATAGTTTCATGATACTCGGGGAAAGGGAAACTTCTGCGGATCGTACAGTCTTCTTGTAAACAGATGGAGTACGATAGAAGCCACAGAAAATGGGAATACCGTTACACGATCATCTTATGGAATAAAAATCGATCTGTCTTTAGGAGTGTCAGTTGCCCATAAGAAGGCAGGGATTTTGGCGAATGACTCACATCGCCCTACGGTTTATTATCATCGCGGGCACATCGCGGAAGTGTGTGATCCTTCAATCGTTCTTATCGATATCGATATCCGTTCAACTCGGCTCCGTTTACTCCTCTCATCTTATTTTCCGCATGCTGAGATAAGATCAATTCGATACGCCAAGTGCAGCGATATCGATTCGATAGCAATTATAGATAGCGATATCAGTTTAAAAAAATCAACGCTCTTAATAATAAATTCTTCATCAACTTGTAGTCAGGACTGCCACAAATTCCTCGCCCTAAAATTTCATATAACTTTCTAGACAAACAAAATTTCATGATTTCTTATAATTTCTAATAATACTTTGAAATTTTTTGTATTTTCTTTCTGGAAAATTATATAATCCGTTAAATATTTTTGGGAGAACAATTTAACATAACAATGTAAATTAATGTTGCTAACACTGCTTGCATTTAATTGTTAGTAGTATTTCAAAATTACGTAAGTATATGTTTGTACGCATGTTAAACTTCATTAAAATCAAGATTAATTTTTTATAAAATTTTGCAAAATTCCCTGATTCTCCTCCAATTTCCTCGACTGTTTCAATTTCCCTAACATTTCCCTAATTTCTTTGATTTCTAGTTTCGTAGCAATCAGTTATGTAAACGCGAGAAAAGTATATTCATGCAGTCTCTATTTATATTTATTTCTCGAGAATATAATATATTTCTTCTTTTTTTTATAACATTCGTTTAAATTATTCGTTTCATTTATATAACTGCACAATCCGCATAATATCGCACATTCATGTGCACATAAATGCTATACAACAATACTCGAAAGATTAGTGTAAATCTTGTAAATTTGTCAGGATTTATCTGTGTTAATTAGAAGCAAATTGAAGGGATTTCAGGATTGAACTGAGGACAAAATAAAAAAAGAGAGCGCAAGCGTTTTTTGAACGTTAGTTGACGCTAATGAGCGGTTGATTTTTACGGTTGGCTGAGACAGCATTTATCGCGAGAAAGCGATGCATTCACATCACCGGATAGTTGAATTTAGATCAATACGCGTAATACAGTGAGCGAGCCTGCATCGCGACTTCTCGATAATTATTACATCGTTAGCGCTGATGTGCAGTAACGTCGCGCCTTGCGACAACGTTACTTATCATAGAACTTAAGCAATGTATTTACATATTTTCCCTAAACATATTATTTTTAATGCTGTACTCTAAAAATAAGAGCATCAAAATTCACTTTAAGAAGATTATAGTACATTTTAAACACACTCAAAAATTAAAAATGTTTAAATTGTTTAAATTAGGAAATCAGTGCTTCTTATCTTGCAAGTGCTTCTTCTTAATTATTATTGTCATCCACGAGAAAATATTAGAACATTAGATGTAAAGAATGTAAAGAGTGATTTTTTAGAAATTAAAGCAATGTTATCTCCTAAAGATAATTGTGGAAAAAAAATTTCTTTCTTGATTTTCAAAACAAATAAAAACTAAAATGTAAGCTTTGAATTTCTCGATTACGATCAATCTCTTAATTTTACAGATAGCCCCTAGATAATTAATATTATTGTACAATATTTGATATCAATCAAATTGATATCGCATAATATTATTGGGTTGTCTGGAAAGTTCGTGCCGATTTTGAAGGAAAATTTAAATGCAGAAGATTTAAATTTTAGTATACATTTATTAAATTTAAATCTTTTGCACGAACTTTTCGGACAACCCAATATGTACTGTCTGGAAATTATATTGAACCTCCAGCATGTTTGCTTTGAATTGTTTAAGAGACATATCAATAATATTGCAAAATAATAATACAATAATTGAGCGTCTAGAAGCCATTTAAAAAACACTTATAAATTTATTTCATCAATAAGAAATTTTCAATTCTTTGCCGAATGGATAAGAATTTCATTCATATTGTAATCTAGTTCCACTTTTATAATTTTAATTTCCAGTAGAGACAATTATGAGTAAAGTCTCCGGCTATTTAATTTCATTTTAATACCTGATGAAATCAAGATCAGTTATTCTCTCCTCTTCGCGATGATCATAACCATTGACTTGACCTACGTCGACGGTGTCGGTGTCGTCGCCATCATCTCCATGCAAAGTAATCTGCGTGGAAGAGTAACGAACCCCCGCCTCCAGCCAGTCCTGCCGGTGGATATTATTGTCGCTATCGTTGTCGTTACTGTCCTCTTGGTCGCTGGGCGCAATTTTACGCTCCGATTCATCGACGACGAGCAACGTGGTGGCAGCGCGGTCAACGCTCGAGATATTCGTCGATTTCTCAATAGGAGACAGATTCTTGACATCTTCGTTACCGAGCTTTCCACTAGCCACGAACGTTTCCTGCTGTTGTTGCAATTGTTGCTCATCAGGACTCGTCGATCGGGCGTTGTGCTCATCTGCTCTCTCCGAATCGCCGTTGCATTTTTCCGCGTGACTCACTGTGACTCGCCCTCGAGCGGAATCCGGACTGGAGGACGAGGCACGATGCTCGTCTTCGAAGGACACGTTGATAGCTCGAATAGCCACCGATGGTTTCGTCGCTGTCAGTGCCGTTTCGAATTTCTCAGTCGAGGTGACGACACTATTCTTTCTTTGCTGATCTTTATCAGGAAACTTCTTCCATCGGTCACGATGATATGGCAGAGCACCGGCTAGGTCTTTCCCGCGGGAATTTCTTCGGATCTCCAGCTTACGTTGCGGCCGTTGATCCTCGGTCAGACTGTTGCGCTTCCGCACGATATTCACTGGAACGTTCCCCGTGGGATAAGGCTTTTCTGAACCGGTACCAAGTCTGTGATGTTGATCGTGAGACGAGATAACTTTGTTTCCATTCTCTGACCGGTTATCCTCAACAATTGTGTCTGTATTTCGTGTCTGGTTGCGATCTCGTGAATTTCTGTCGTTGGATACATTCTCGTCCTTGCAATCCTTCGTGCACTCCTTGAGGGATTCGTATACAGTTGTACGTCCACCCGTTGGGTCCATCTGTTGCTGCTGCTGCTGCTGTTGCTGATCGGATCTCCAGGGTTTCGTGTTTGGCGGCGGTGGTGCCTGCCTAGTGGGACAGGGCGGCCTTGGCGATCTCTTAAGGGCCTCGGCAACCACCTGCCGACTCGGTCGAGGTGGCACCGGAGGCGGATGAGGCCTTTGACTTGCCAGCTGCATTCCGCTCGTCTTTCAAACCTTCTAACCTTCAAAGCGATTGCTCATTCTCTATGACGACATACTTATACGTATGCAAAAAACGAATTTTACTTTTCGAGCCAACTAACTGCACAATCTTGACTCGTGGTTACGTCAATACAAAATATCTATGCTATTACTACTATTACTAAACACAATACTAAATGTCAGTAGTAACATGAGGTACCTTCACCTCGCACGTAAACGACAAAGATTGCGCTTCGTTCAAAATTCTCTCAAGATAAGAAGCGACGTTTATCGTTCTTATCGCATGCGTGTTTATTATAAGCCAACAGAATCGAAGAACGCGGTAAATAACTCAGCAAGCGAGGCATATTTTGTGAGCTTGGCAAATTTCTCGCATCAGCAGTATTTCATCATCCGTAAAATTCTTCGGATAGGAATTCGTTGTTTGCAATTTTATTGTGATGTATTGTCAGTCGGAGACGAATATAATAGCCGTTGGATATCTTTGTATAAAATCTTGCAGCCCGGAGGTATGATTCGCGAGGCGTGCGTTTCTTGGAATTATCTTATTTCCTTAAAACGCACGGACGAGCATGCTTTAAATGCCGATCGGAGATGACGGGAATGTTGTGCAACGTCGCCACATGATTCCACACACTGTTGCGCCAGCGAAATCACCGCAATCTTGCTGCGCGTACCCTCGATTCGCCGCGTTTCCTTCTCTTTCGCTTCTTCTCTTTCGTTTCTCCCCTCGAGTCCGCCTCGTCCTCTTTATTCGTAAGCGGGTCGCGATCGCGTCGATGCCTCGCGATATCGCCGACGCGATTTTGCATACAATTCTGTGGGAGCCACGAAACGTGCCTTCGTTCGTTCGCTAATAGCTTCATGCGCGGTTGTCTTCAATTTCTCAAATACTTCTTCGTTCGCGATCGCGATGAGCGGAATCGACCTGTGATTTTGCACACAATCGCGAGAATTACGTCGCAAAATATTCCTCGTGCATGTCAATTAAAAACTTCAAGAAGCCACTTCCGATTCTCAATACAGGAATTTATTTCGCGCGCATTTCGCCCTTTTCCTTTCTTTCTTTCTCTGTCTCTTTCTCTCTTCAGCTTGTCATTGAAGCTGATCTTCAAGATGACGTTACGGCCTCGATAGTCGCCTTTCTATCTCGATCGCTCGAGCTTTCCTTCCATGAAGAATGTACGAGCAGATCCGGCGAACCCGCTTCTTTGTGAACGAACGAGGCAACCTGACTTGCCGCCTTTTGTAAGTAAACTTTCTATCGCATGCCGCGATTCACAGTGCGCACCAACCATTCAATGGTCCTGACAAAGGACTTCTTTTCTATTTTTTTTTCTGAAGCGTATCAAAATTTATTTTTAACAAATTCGGCAATTAAATTTCTTTATATAAAACTTTTTTATTCTTCCTTTATTATAGGACAGAGGAAGTAACAGAAAAACTTTTGTTGGAAGAACCAAGAATTTAATTTAATTTATGTATTGTTATTTCGAATGAAAGAAAATCATCTTCTTTGACTCGAGCCACTTCGTCTTCGCATCATTCGCGCGTCTTCAGCAGTCACTTCCGAGTCTCGCTTGACGTCACATCGCGTCTTCCACGTTTCAGTGCACCGAAATCCACACTTTCTAACGCACAAATTGGCAATTCCTTCTCCTTTTCTAAAATAAATTAAAACACTATTGATTCCTACGTCATGATCGCATCAATGATGCCTCCTTTCAAGACTTCTCTTGCTCCCGTGATGATAGGAACCAATCACTTGAGAAACACTTGAAAACTTTGATTCGGTGAACTACGAGGAATAAGCCGAAACGATCGCGCAACGAATGCCTTTGGACAGGTAGTTAAAACAGCGACGATCCCGAGACCCCAGGCGGTATCCCCGATCCAGTATCTCCTCCTCCGTTCAGTCCTTTCCCTCTTCCTCTTCCACCCGATAACGTTTCTATCCTCTCTTTCTCAACGGACCGACCGCCACGGACTGACTTTGCGGTCCCACAAACATCCTTCGCGATCAGTGGCCACGTGACTGGCCGAGCTCGAGTTCTTGTCAGGTAGTCAACGAGTGTGCGCCTTATGCATGTATGAGTATATGTGAGCGAACCAGTGGGTGAGCGAAGGAATGAGCGTGCGAACAAGCGAAAGAGCGAATAAACGAGTGAGTAAGCGTGCCTAGGTGTGTTCGTGTGTGGAGACACAGAAGGGAGAGACACAGGCGAATGCAAAGAGGATGCGGTTGATGGTGATGGTAAAGATTCACGACAGCGGTCTCGTGACGATCTCAACACTGTTGATCATGATGATGTGTGAGTTCTTGACCTGATAGGAAAAACTCTTGGATCGCTCGACACGTTACGTAAATTACAGATCTCAGAAGAGGGAGAGGGAAATGCGGTTGCCGTTCTAAACTTTACGGAAAGTCGTGGTCACACTTTCTAGCGTCGTCAAGGCGCTATAGTTTCTTCTTAGGGATGCTGTCTTTCAATGATTTTCATAGTACATTACGATGTCTCGGTCATCTACACTATAATCATTCAAAATATTAAAAATGAGAAAATATTAATTTCAAAAGGCAATTTAAATAAGAGCAAACAACATAGATATTTCTTCAAAGTCTGATTTACAAATATTTTGAAATATTATAAATCTTTATCCACACTGAAGATGGTTCAGTGTGAAATGTTTGGATCTGAATGTGTGAATCTTAATTAATTTTAATTTGCACTGCAACTTGATTTATTGCCTTGTTATTACTTATTTAAATTTTAATTCTCTGAATCTTCAGAACTGGTTATCAATTTAATTTCGATATAAAATTATTAATTTCGTATAAAATTATATTAGATTTTATCGTTATATTACATCGTTGATGTAATGTATTTTCACAGGATTCGCTCGAATGGATTCAATTATGTACCAGCGCGTCCTAATTACACACATGCACTCGCCCGAGATTGTTTAAGTTTATGTAAGTCGATTTCGCTGTGCTTCCATAGAGTTACGAGTACTACACTTCACGGAACACGTCACATATCGTTTCGTTTCTTTACGTCATATATCTATCGCAGGTGTAGCAGTTAATTACCCGCGAATGTGCGTTCATTTCGCAATACGCATTATTCGCATCGACGCGAACGCAACGACGATCTGTGTGAACGATAAGTGTGAACTTTCTAGAGTTCGTGAGGCATAAAATATCTTATCGATCATATCAATTTCCATGCTTTGCCAGAGCATCGTTATAATTTCTCATAAAAAGAGATAAACGAAGTAAAGAATACACGTAAAAGATCGCATAGACGATTCCGTAGGAAACGCGAAAAGGAATGAAGACTCGAATGAATTTTTTATATGATTAGTTGTATGACTAAAACAGACTAGGAGTCACGAATTAAAAGAACTGGAAACTATAAATTAAAAAAAACTAGGAGTCTCATGAATTAAAGATTATAAGACTCAAGAATCAAAAAAAGAAAGCATAATTTAAAAGGCTTAGGAGTTAAATTAAAAGAACTAAAAATTATGAATTGAAAGATTTGGGAATCACGAATTAAAAGGATTAGTTGGGAGTCATGAATTAAAAGGATTAAGTTTCATGAATTAAAAGAACTAGGACTCATGATTTAAAAGGACTAAGAATCACGAATTAAAAAGATTAGGAATTACAAATTAAAAGAATCAGAAGGACAATTATGAAAGGACTCGGAGCCAACCATCTCGGGGTCCATCTACCTCCATCATTGGGTGTAGGTGTATACCGCGACCAGTGGTATCGCGTGAGAGAGTAACCCGTGGCAGACGAGGAGAACGGGACGGAAGAGGGAAGAGAAAGGAAAGGACTATTAAAGGAAGAGGTGAACGAAGAGAGATGGAGAAAAGGGAAGGGACCTATTAGATCCCCTCCGTCTCGCCATTCTCTGCAATAGCACGAAGGTCTGTTCACCAGTGCCGTAGCTTGTGCGACATTCAGACTTCCCCCGTTTTCTTTCTTCTCTCTGTTTCGAAGATTGCGGAAAGAAGAATCCAGGGAAGCGCGATTACTCTTAATTCGCGCAATTCGTCTTAACGAAGCGATTTCTCTCCTTTAAGTCACGCTCTCGAGCTATGATTGACGCGATTTGACAAAATCTTGAAACTAAGTTTTTTTCTTCAACTTGTTATATGTGGAGATATATACCTCATTCAAGACAATCGGTTTCTAAACTCGCTATATCGGGAGATGGCACATCTCTCGAATATTTCACAAATGTTTTCTGTCACTCAACTGAAACGGAATGACGAAGATAAGATATCAGCGATATCCCGCAGTCTCACGTGCTCCGTAGAATGAAGTAACCGCTGATGATACGCGTTATCGGCTTGCGATCATCATGCGTATCGCTCGCCCATTCACGGCGCAATTAAGCTCGAGGAGGAAGTGGCACGACCGGCCGGCTCAGAAAACGCGAGCCGCGGAATTTATTCACACTCTGTTTCGCTCTGGCTCAGGCAAAAACGACTTGTTCCACTTTAGCGACCGATCTTCCGCCGATAAAATGCAAATTGACTCCACCTCTCCCTCCCGCCCGCGCAATCCGGCCGGTTCCTTGATCGATCGAAATCGGATCGTACACATCACGAAGACGTTTCTGTCCGTCCGGTTGTTACCGTACAACGTGGCCGTCAAAACAAAATTCGATTACTGGGTCACGGGGTTTCGTGAAGTGCGCGTTCGAGATGCGGATTTCGAATGCCAATGTCAAACGTGAGTCCGTCTGCGATTCTATTGTGCATTTCTACAAACATTGATTGTCAGAAATTTCTCATCCTAATATTTCATAACTTTTTCCTTTTCAAACAAAATGTCATGATTTTGCTTAATGCTTTTAATAATATTTTGAATTTTTTGGTTCATATTTTCATATTTCCTGATTTGGAAACTGTCAAATATTTTGTTGAGAGAGCAATTTAACAATATTACTATTTATATCGCGCTAGTAACTGCTTGCGTTTGATCATTAAGTTAATAATATTCAAAAAGTACCGAAGGTAAGATGTATGTACATTGAACTTTTTTAAAGTCGAAAATTTTAATTTTTTGAAAAATTAAAATTCTTGACTTTTTCTTGATTTTCAACTTTGGTCAATGAAGATCAGTGTTTTTTAACCTTTCTTAATTCGCAATACATTAAATAACAAACCATTTTTTCGAGATACATTAGCACACGTTTCAGCGCTCATAGATCTTTTATCAGATATCGCCAAATACGACGTTCAGAAATAAAACGTAAAGTTCTCAAATTTTTATTTTATCGTTTTAAAAGATTTTATTGCAATTATCACTTTGGTTAAAATGAGAATAAATACAATCAGGGTTGTCACAGAAAATAAATTTAAAAATTCCCTGACTTTTCCAGATGAAAATGGAAAAGTCAGGGATATATTTAAAGAATTATATTTTAAGAATTATAGGAAAGCTAGCTTATATTAAAAACAACGCAAAAAAGATTAGTAGCGTATTAAAATTTTGGGTGCAAATTCAAGCTAAAAAAAAATTAGTATTAAAAAATTAGTGTAAAAAATTAGTATAAAAAATGCAGTTACGAAAAAAGGCGATCAAATAAAAATATTGAATAAAATATAAATTTTAATTACGTTATTAAAGAATTTAAGTGTGCGAGTTTTGAACGTATTTCATTATAAACGTCAAATAATATTAAATTATTATAACAATTATCTAGAATAAGAGCAGTTTAAGGAAATTGTAAGCAAATTTCAAAATTTCAGACTTTTTTACATTTTCCCTTGATTTTTCCCGGATTTCCCGGTTTTCTAGGTCTATGGCAACCCTAACAACATTACATAATTTAAATAATTATAATTTTTTAAATATTTTTACTTCCTTGTTTTCTTATTTATTTCTGAAGTTTTACTTCTTATTATTTTCTCTATTTTCATGACTTGAAGACCATTTGCGGCATATCGATTAAAAAACCTTGATGTATGTAGATAGATTAATTTTAATCTCGATTTGATTTACTTTTATCATTTTCTAGTTTTAATTAAGAATTAGAAAACATAAAGAGAAATTAATAAAGAAAATTAAACCGAGATTAAAATTAATCTACATTGAAACGGACATATATTTATTAATTCGTAAGCAGAGAGTTCATAAAGGACATTTTTTAGCATCTCTCTTTGATCTTGATAGGTCGCATTGACAAATAATATTTTTTTTTCGTAAATATTTTTAACAATCCTTTTTTTTTCTAAAACTCACGATATCATATTCGACATTAAACTAATTCTGACAGTCATTCTTCAATTGTCGATATGTCCGTTGAATCATACATTTTTTTCTTGGAATTAAACATGACTCATGTTGCTATTTTTACACTCCGTCGTACTTTGAACACCGCGTCGAAAGAAATAAAGTTGAAAGCGGCCGTCTTTTTTACAATCATAAATAATTCAGCCCCACAGTCGAGGTAAAGAGTCAAATTGACTCGCAAAAGCGATCAGTTAAAGTGCCGCATTGAAAATAGTGTTCTTGCTGTCGCAATTTGACTTAACCATCCATTCGCGCTTCGCGTTGAACTCCATTAAATTTCGCGTCGGAGTTTCCTCGCGCGCGATTATGTCAGCAAAACGCAATTCCCGCGATTAAAGCGAGAAAAAAAGAGGGGCCTCTCCCCCTTCCCGAGCTCACGATAGAACTATTTCTAACGCGTGGTAGAACTGCAACCGCGTTGCCGAGAGAATGGATTATGCGGCGCGGCTGCAGCTATTACGTTACATTCGAACACGCGCAAGATACTGATGACGCGTATGTTGTCGGATACAACGACTTATTAATAATTCAACGAGCCAATGCGTTGCCCGCAGATATCAGACCGAGAGGAGAGAGGCTGATTCGCACGCTGCACGTTAACCCTTTGAACCGGAAACGTACTCTTTGTCGCGCGGAGAGATCAGAGTGAAGGGGACAAGAGATGTTCAAATTTCACTGACAGTGAAGACTCGGATGTCATATGGAAAGAATGATTTTGCTGAAGTATAAAAGTTTAGCTAGATACAGATCTGAAAATAATTTTGTTGGACTATCAAAATAATTATTAGGACGCTCAAGCTAGTTGTTAGAAAATTTTTTACAGCATTGCTTCAACGACCCACATAATTATTTTGATGACATAAATATCTAAAAATTCAGCTAGAAACAGATCTGAAAATAATTTTGTTAAACTATCCAATAATTATACAGACGCTCCAGCTGATTGTTAGAATATTAAAACTTTTTGTAGCATTGCTCATCAGCTCAAGTTTTTTTACATAATTATTTTGATGATTTTCTAATGAAATTATTCAAATCTGTATCTATCTAAATTTTTAAATGTTTTGGCAATCGGTCTTTCCATACAGTTTCGAGTAAATAGCACGACGTCTTTTATACAATTCCTCTCCAAGACGTTTTTTATACGCAAAAAGAAAAGATTAATCGCAAGTACTGCTGTGGTGAAAATTCTGAATGGAATGAGGCATAAAAAGATTTTAGATATTCGCGAGATGACGAATTTCAGATGTCATCAATCGCGACAACATACGAGAATGTACAACGGGTTGTCGTATGGCAGGCGAATTTAATCGTCGGCGGATGGACGACTCTAGATAAGTTTCTAAATTTAGGTACGACATTTTCTCTTGGAAGACATATAAGTCATTTGTATGAAATTTGTATAAATCTTATTACACATTTTACGGCGAACAGCGCATTGGATACGACGAATCGGCTTAAAAAAAAATGCTATGAATAAATAAACATGCCATAAAGCATTATTATTGGCATTTACTAGCTATTTGATTACTCCTAATGGCTTTTTTAAACAAATTTATGCAGGCTTGATGCTGAAAGCCTGAGTTTATGTGAACTTGCGAGGTTTAGCAAAAGAGATTGTTACACAGATTATTTAGATTGTATAAATTATATAAACCGGTATTTATAGTTGCTCCTATTTCTCTCTTAAATTCTTTGAAATGAAATTTCACTCTAAAGAGTTTCACTCCAAAGAATTTAGAGAACCTCTTTAGAAAGAGATTCCATTCCAAAGAATTTAGAGAGAGTTTCAGAGAGTTTCTGTCTTAAATAATATATCTTAAGATGCTAATATTCTATTTTTGATTAGTATACTTATAACATCTTAAGACTGTATTTAAGACTGGTCTTAGATATAAAAACCAACTATAATATATATATATATATATAAGAGAATACCAGCTATAGATATAAACAGACTATGAGGAGATGTCTAATTTCCTAAAATAACCGGTCCAATTTACATCCGAATCTCTTCAGAAGGGAAACCTCGCAAGGAGAAAGAACGAAGAGGCACGCGTCGTTTACCTGATCACTCGCTGCGTGCTGACACCTGCGGGTCTGCGGGATAAGCGGCGGTTACTCCTTAAACTTCCACTCCTGGCGACACATCGGGCATATGTGGTTGGTCTGTTGCGAGTGTAGCCACTTCATGATGCAGTGTATATGGAAACAATGCGAGCACTGCCCCCACACTGAAACGAAACGATGTATACGAGCGGTTAAATTAATTTCGTCGGTGTTGGGCAACGGACCGGTGAACAGTCGGGTGCACCTGGCGATTAGCAGCAAGAGAAAGAAAGGGTGGTAACAACGGGAAGAACGGACGGACGTGCGTGCACACATTCGCCGCGCATCGATACCCGAGGGTGCTTAGGGCGAGGGTGAGGGACAGCGGCGCCTACCAGCCGCGTTTCTCCATCGGCCGACCGGCACGCGTCGATCGATATCATGACATCGCGCGCCGTCGCGGATGCGGCCTTCTCGTTGTGGCGGTATTTTACAAGTCGGGAGTATAAAGCCTTGTGTTTTATGATACTCGAAAAGAATGATTCTGTTGAAGTCTAAAAATTTAGCTAAATACAGATCAAAAATAATTTCATTAGACTAACAAAATAATTACGTAGGTTGTGCAAACATAGTGAGCAATATTGTAAAAAATTTTCTAGTAACCACTTTGAGTGGTTCTTATATAATTATTTTGGTGGGTTAACAGAATTATTTCCAGATTCTATTGATTTAGATTAATTTTTAAATAGAAATCTTTTATTTCATATAGAAATCGCTCCGAGATTTCGGATGGTGAAAGAATTGACAAATCACATTTGAACAATTCAGCTTTGGCCAATGGTCGATTCTTTGCCTGAGATCTCGAAGCAATTTATACAGGGAAAGAATAGTTTTACTAAAGAATCTAAAATTTAGATAGGTCACTTTGTGGACACAAGGCTTAAAAGAGATCTATTTTTAACCTGATTTTTCTTGGCCACCTATAATTATATATTAAAATTTAGTATGATATTCTATTTTATGTGTAATATATGTATATAGAACTTAAACGGATACAAATAGAAAGGGTATAACTATTAAAATATATACGTATATTAAATATATATGTATATTAAATAGATTATAAATAGAAATAAATAAATGCAAATTATAGATATCATAATTAAATTTCATTTAACTTAATCAATAATTCATTTAACAGAAATGTTTTTCCAAGGAATTTGTTTCCAAATAAATTTCTAATTATATAATTTGTCCAATTTAATCTAATTCATAATCTTTCTTGTTAAATATGTGTTAAATAAAAAATTAATCATTCATTTAAAATACAGATACCACACTTAATAAATAAATCTTATTAATTTAAGTAACAGTTATTTCATATGATAAAATTTTTGCTTACATTAAAATTTTTAATTGCATAAATCATCACTGTTTCTAATTTTTCTCTCGAAAAATGTAAAAATATTCAATAGCACTAATAAAAAATATAAATATATGCTTTTGTTTAAAGGAACAAGAAGAAATTATTTTCAAATAAATAATTAAGAAAAGAGAAAGTAGTAAAAAATAGCAATCATAAAGTTTACTTTAGTGGAATATTGCAATAAAAAGAATATGTTTCAAGTACCCAGTGGACAGTCATCTCCAGGGATCTTGCAATCTGGACAACTGGCGTCAAACGGCATCCTGCATATACCGCAGTTGTCATCGTTCGCAATCCATCGCCAGGTGGCGACGCCTGTCCAACCTAGACAGAGAAATACCTCGTAGACGTTGATCTATATGTTGCTTTACGGCCAAGAAAAACGTACGAATGATGCGAACGTTAGCCATGACATAACCATAACGTCCATTATCATGAGATTGATATATATTTCATACATATCGCAGATTAGAATTATATGCACAAGACAGAACAGCAAGAACATTTCGAATGTCACTCCATATACTTACTCTTTATCGTCACCTTCATCTCGAAAAGTTAGGATTGTTCTCTCGAATAATAAACGCAATGCGATGCGACTGGAACTTCTCTGCGAATTCTCTGCTATTCTCCGATAACGTGACTTTGATGAAAATACATTTAGGTAAAATTATGCGTTTATATATCGTGGTAGAATGATCAACTGACTGCAGCTGCTGCAGCTGACAGAGAAACACGAATAAAAGCGATAAAAGGCTGCGCCATCTTAAGATTTTCAAATCGCGATTCAACATTCGATTCTCGTGCGGAGCTCTGGTTTGGAGCTCACTTCAGACAATTCGCATCGGTTTTAAGAATAAAATTCTATTTATTATTATTTTATAGTTATTATTTTATAGATGTTTAAAGAAATGTACATATATTTAAAATATATATTTCATAAATTTACATTGCACTGTAATATTGAATTAAGTTATTATACAAATTCTAGACAGTTGGATTTTCTGAAGTGAACATCATATATAAATAATAAATAAATATGAATAAGAAATTTCGATATGTAAATAAATTTTGCTGTGTCAATATTCATTTTAAGCAAAATATTAAAAATAAACATATGTTGAGAAATAAACAAAAAATATTGTTAAATCTGACTTCTTAAAATGTATTATATTATTCTGTGTCTGCGATAGATACTTAATTATAATTAAAAAATATTAAAACATAAAATGATTAGTTTCAAATTAATTAAAATTATATCAGTTTCATCTTTTGCTTTAAAATGCAAAAATAATTTCTATCTTTATTTGTAGCGATCGTAGCGATGTAAAGTGATATAATTGTATTTTTTTGTTATATCTGTAAGTATATAAAAATCTACTAATTTTTCGCTTTCATTTGATGCAGAAATAATTTCTTAGATTTATTCGCTACATGCAGATATCCCAACTCTCTGATTGACTCTTTTTCACGTACGAGAGCTAGATTTATAAATTCTATCGCTTCCAATTTTTGCTTCACAGTGCAAAAAGCGATGATTTTATCATCGTTCGTTACGATGGAAATAATTGGCGTGACGGCATTCGAGTCACGCGGAACGCGCTAATCAATCTCCCCCGTCATGTATCTATTATTTCCGAAAAAGCGGGAGGTTGATTGGCCGACGCGCATATACGTATATATTTTCTGTGTCTATTGCGCGTCAAAAAATCAGACATCGCGCCTACAGAAAGCATGCCGTCGGTTTCCATCAGTATTCGTAGCGCGGCGCGACGGTGGCAACCGAGTGGAAACGAAACGCGAGTCGCGACTGCTGACTCCTGTCGCAAGTATCGCAAGCAAGAGGCGGTTCATCGCGACTCGCGAGTGGAGGAGCGCGGCGCCGCTGGACGGCCACGGCACGGTACGGTACGGCACGGCACGGCACCCGTACGTCGTACGTCCCGTACAGCGTCGCAACGACACGGTCAGCAACGAGAGCGCGGGCGGCGAGGAGGAGGCGGAGGAGGTGAAGGAGGAGAAGGAGAGAACGGTCGCTGGCGGCTTTCGTCGTGCGGTGATGCGAGAGGACCCGCGCAACGCCGGGTAACGTTCACTAGCGGAGCGGAGTAAACGCGCGCGCGTTGGCTGGACGGAGTCGGCGGGCCCGACGTGGCCGCCCGTTGCGTTGCGAGTTTCTGTCTCTGAGTTCCTGGTTTCTGTCAGAAGTCGTACACTGAAACGGCCAGCGGTATGACGAGCCTCACACGGGCGTCGTAGATCGGCTGCCGCGCCACCGCCGCTACCAACGACGGTCGTTGCGTGCGTAGCGTAACGTGCGTTGGTGTCCAACCTCCCCAAGTTCGGCGGGGCCTTCGTACGACATGGCGGGCTTTCATGACAGAGATAGGGCCCTGTTCCCGATCCGGAGCATCTCCGCGATCGTGCAGATCTTCAAGAATCAGCTGGAGAACAGCGCCGAGCCGGATCTCGCGTTGCTCTCGATCCTCATCGGCGCAGTCGAGAATTCCTTGACGTGCAATCGCGTCTTCACGCCCCAGGAGAACGCCGTCTACGACGAACCGAAACTGCCGCCTGTAGAGTATCACATCGCCGAGGCATTATACACAAAGTTTCATGCGGTGATCAAGGGCGCTGTCGATCTCACCGTGTATGACACCAAGTACGCCACCAGGGAACTCGTGAAAAAGGTATCGGACGTTATATGGAATTCTCTTACCAGAAGCTACTACAAGGACCGAGCGCATCTGCAAAGTCTCTACAGTTATTTAACAGCGAACAAGCTCGATTGTTATGGAGTCGCCTTCGCTGTGGTGGCTGGTTGCCAGGTTTTAGGTTTCAAGGATGTGCATCTTGCTATGTCAGAGGACCATGCATGGGTCGTGTACGGAGAAGATGGTACAGAGACTGCGGAGGTTACATGGCATGGTATGTGGGTAAAGTCTTAATGCAATTAGGTGTAAAGTTATGATTATACTTTGTACCGAAATAGTCTTTCTTCAAAGAAAAAAACGTAAACTGTATTTAAAATAAATTATCTTGAGTATCCGAATTATAAACTCAGGTCTTTCAATCTTAATGCTTGGAAGAAGAAGTGAAACATACTATTTTTGTTTCACTTTAACTGCATCATCAGTTCAGAGAATTCTTCAACAAAGAACAGGTCTTTTCTTTCTTTCTTCTAGAACTTTCAACTGTTGGGATTGAAAGACCACAATTTAATCAGATATCCAAGATGGATTCTTTTAAATATATTTTATATTTTTTTCTTTCGAAACTATTAATTGACACAAAATACCACACTTTACACCAAGTAATTTTGGATTTGTTTAAGAAAAGTTTTTCTTGTTACACGATATAATAATATTTGCTTCTTAAAATTCTTTGATAGATGCAAAGTGATAGAAAGATTCAACCTAGAGCTTTCGACTTACACTACTTCTATTAAATTCTACTTTTATTAAATTCTACTTGCGACTTCAAAAATTTAGGGTAAGAGGTAATTACAATTTATTACCAGGTAAGGGAAACGAGGATAAACGTGGGCAACCAGTGGAGCCTGGTGTAGCGTCTCGATCGTGGTTGTATTTAAATGGGCAAGCTATGGTGTGCAGTCGTGCTTTAGAAGTGGCTACCATAGTATCAGCTATAAATCCTAGTCTGAAT